GCTGATCCCCTGGGCTTTCGTCGCGCGTGGCAAAGCCGATCCCTGGATGGCGGACAGCGTTGTCTCCATCGACTTGAGTCGGTGTTCGCACGTCGCAACCGCGTTCAAAAGCATCTCTGGCGCGGCACTACCAAACGCCAGGAACGACGCGCCCGCTGCCTCCTCGGGAATATCGAGTTTCTCGCACAGAACTTCGATGGCAGGCACCAAGTGGTCGTCGGCTACGACAGCTAGACCGGTGAAGAGGAAACCGAGCGCCACAAGCGACAACGAAACGTTCACGGCCGTGTGGCCAGGGGATGCCATGTCGACCACGGCGGTGTGGTTACCATCGACCTGAGCGCTCGTCACAGATGTAACCACGATTAGCACGACGATGGACGGCGCGATCGGAAGCCTCATGGTTCAAGATCCAAAATAACCATCGACAGTGCATCGTATCGGGAAATTGTCGAAGGTCTCGTCCCACTGTAACGGTGTCCCTCATTTCTTGTTTCCCCTGGCAACGCCCCATGCTGCGACGTGCTTGTGGGACAACTGCATCGAGCCCGCTTTTGCCTGTATCGTCGAGAGTGCTAGCGGCGGAGGCGCTCGGAATGGCCGACGTGCTATTTCGCTGTGTAAAAAAGTTTTAACCTCAAATTGGCCATTTATACCAGGCCGCAGCTGCGTGTTCGATTGGATCTGACGAGTGAAACCCCGCGGCCTGCATCCTCCTGCGACAAGCAAACCCCAAACCCAGTCAAGCAGGTGTGGATGCAGGCGCATCCAAGGCATGCCTCTTCGTTTGTCAACACGCCATGTGGTCGTTCGGGTGGCGCAGAACTTTGACCAGTGGCTGGCGCTGATCCCATGGTCTTTCGTCGCGCGTGGCAGCAATTGACATTCGATGGATTGAAACGTTCAATATTTATTCCACATACTGAATACAAATCAGGGCCATATATTTTTAATAAAGGCAAGGATTCGACCAAAGTTGGGTCCCATTCACAATTTCGCAAGCGGCCAGCACAGCAACGCTGTGGCCGACGCAATGGATGCGTCTAAGCAACGATCGAAAAAGCAATCCAAGCACGATGAACGTGCTCATGCTCAATCTCATGTCAAGACTGACACCAAACGCCATCGTACCAACCACCCTGACAGGTATCTCGCCTTGTCGTCGTGCTTGTGGGTCACTGAGTGATCCAACGCTCCCTTAGTTCGCTGAAAGTGCTTCTGACGCTGTCTCGCCACGGCAGTCGCCGTCCCAACGCCATCTCGAGCACGCTCTGCCCCAACAACGTTGCGAACGCCGAGTCGTACCACGTGCCGCCCGAGCAATTGACCGAGGTCGGTATGGAGCAGATGCGTCTGGCCGGCGAAGAGATTCGACGCGAATACATCGAGAACCAGGGGTTTCTCTCCAACTCGATCGGTGGCCCTGACAACAAACACTTTGAAACGTACTTTCGATCGGACGCAGCGGATCGATGTGCCCAGAGCGCGATCGCGCTCGGCTACGGCCTGTATCCAGACTCGACGGCGCCGAACCAGTACTTCCACCAGCCGATCTCGGTGTACATGAACCAGCTGCGAAACGAACACGACTTTGCCGCGCCCAAGGGTCCGTGCAAGGCTGTGGCCAAGGCCGACATCAACACGTACTTTCAAACCCGCGGGCTGGAGACCATCGCCCAGCACAAGCCGCTGCTGGAGAAGGTCGGGCAGGCCTGCGGCATCAACGTGTGGAACATCCCGAACCTTCCTGACGGCGAAGACCTCGTGACCGGCATCAAGGACATCGCGGACACGTTCACGTTTGACACGCAACAGGGATTGCGCCGCCTCAAGGGAGTCACGCCGGAGCTGCAGACGGAGATCGAAGGCCTGGCGTTCCAGCACCTGATGGAGCGGTACTACTCGACGGACCGCGAGGTCACGTACTGGGTGGGTGGGTTCCCGACCTTGATGCTCAAGAATCTCCAGGTCCCGCCACCGGAGAAGGCCGAGAACGCGTTCAAGTACTACTCGTACCATGGCCACCGTGAGCTCGTTCATGGGTTGGGGATATTGTTGGGGTGGGCGTTTGACTTTCCCGGCCAGCCGCGCGCCCTCGACACGTCTGCGCTGGATCCGGCCACGACCATGTTCTTTGAGCTGCACCAGGTCAACACGTCCGAGTTCATTCGAACGTTTGTGTGGTCGCCACGCACCCGCCGCACCCAGGTGAAGTTGGCCAAGTGCTCGACGCTCGACTGTCCGTTGGCCGAATTCGCCAGCATTATTTACAACCACACGAATGTGACAGGGACGTGGGAGCAGATATGCAACTACCACCCGGCAACGTTTGCCCCGGTCGTTGCAACCACGCCCAAGCCAGTGGAGACGGTGAAACCAAGCGAGCTATCGACAACCACGCCAAAACCAGTTGTGACTGAATCGGAACAACACGAGGCATCTCCTCCTCCAGTGGAGATGACTGAGGAAGCACGAGCAACTACTCGTCCAGATCAAACCTTGACGACCCAGCCTTCGTCGACTCTGTTTGAGCCAGTTGAGCCGGTTCAGCCGAATCAACCGCCCGAGGTAGTGCAGGCTGAGCCGACGGTATCTCTGCCGTCTACTGTTGTGGTTAAACTGGACACCGCCCAACCTGCGCTTCGGTTGAACTTCGCGGACAGCGTCGACCCACTTCCCATGACGACCTTTGAATGTCTGGGGTGGGTCGCCTATCTAGCAGTCGCTGCAGTGCTCGTATACTTTGCAGCAAAGCGACGACCGCAGTCGGGTTACCGCCGAATAGATTAAGCTGTAATGGCTCTTGCGGTCCTGGTGTTTACAAACTCTCGACATCCCTAGCACAAGCTGACGCCCAACACAACGAAATGTCGAGGATGCGACGAAGGCCGTTGCATGTACGCAATGCAGACCATGCGGTGTACTTGAAATAAAAGCACTAAGTCAATTGTCGGTACCCTGATTGCTGGCGCCGAGTTGCCCGTTTAATAGCCACGAACACGAGGGCGGCAACCACGGTCAGATACGATGCCCACCCGATGCCTTCGAAGATGCCCATAGGAGGCAGTTCGACAGACTTGAGCTTGGTGAGGCGCAACCCCGGCTGCGCTACCACTATTGGTGTTGTTGCTACAGACGCCAGGGTGGTGGGTGTCCAGCTGCTGTGAATTTCCTCGGGTTTGGCGATGGTTTCGGTAGGTCGGATGGGGTCTGCGGGCTTTGCCGTAGTGACTAGAATCACAGATGGCGTCACCGACGCCATGACGCCCTCGGTCGGCTCGGGAGTCTCAGTCGTTTCCAATGGCTTTGGGGTTTGTGTTTCTGTCGTCACAATTGGTTTTGGCGTGGTCTCGACGTGTTTCGTCGTCGATGCTGCTACAGGAGCCGAGGTGGTGGTCGTCCAGGTGCCGTGAACTCCCTTGGGTTTGGCAATGGTTTCGGTGAGTGGGACGGGGTCTGAAGGCTTTGCCGTGGTGGTTGGAGCCACGCTCGGCTCGGGAGTCTCAGCTGTTTCCACTGGAGGAGGGGATGCCTCGTGTTGTTCCGATTCAGTCACAACTGGTTTTGGCGTGGTTGTCGATGGCTCGCTTGGTTTCACCGTCTCCACTGGCTTGGGCGTGGTTGCAACGACCGGGGCAAACGTTGCCGGGTGGTAGTTGCATATCTGCTCCCACGTCCCTGTCACATTCGTGTGGTTGTAAATAATGCTGGCGAATTCGGCCAACGGACAGTCGAGCGTCGAGCACTTGGCCAACTTCACCTGGGTGCGGCGGGTGCGTGGCGACCACACAAACGTTCGAATGAACTCGGACGTGTTGACCTGGTGCAGCTCAAAGAACATGGTCGTGGCCGGATCCAGCGCCGACGTGTCGAGGGCGCGCGGCTGGCCGGGAAAGTCAAACGCCCACCCCAACAATATCCCCAACCCATGAACGAGCTCGCGGTGGCCATGGTACGAGTAGTACTTGAACGCGTTCTCGGCCTTCTCCGGTGGCGGGACCTGGAGATTCTTGAGCATCAATGTCGGGAACCCACCCACCCAGTACGTGACCTCGCGGTCCGTCGAGTAGTACCGCTCCATCAGGTGCTGGAACGCCAGGCCTTCGATCTCCGTCTGCAGCTCCGGCGTGACTCCCTTGAGGCGGCGCAATCCCTGTTGCGAGTCAAACGTGAACGTGTCCGCGATGTCCTTGATGCCGGTCACGAGGTCTTCGCCGTCAGGAAGGTTCGGGATGTTCCACACGTTGATGCCGCAGGCCTGCCCGACCTTCTCCAGCAGCGGCTTGTGCTGGGCGATGGTCTCCAGCCCGCGGGTTTGAAAGTACGTGTTGATGTCGGCCTTGGCCACAGCCTTGCACGGACCCTTGGGCGCGGCAAAGTCGTGTTCGTTTCGCAGCTGGTTCATGTACACCGAGATCGGCTGGTGGAAGTACTGGTTCGGCGCCGTCGAGTCTGGATACAGGCCGTAGCCGAGCGCGATCGCGCTCTGGGCACATCGATCCGCTGCGTCCGATCGAAAGTACGTTTCAAAGTGTTTGTTGTCAGGGCCACCGATCGAGTTGGAGAGAAACCCCTGGTTCTCGATGTATTCGCGTCGAATCTCTTCGCCGGCCAGACGCATCTGCTCCATACCGACCTCGGTCAATTGCTCGGGCGGCACGTGGTACGACTCGGCGTTCGCAACGTTGTTGGGGCAGAGCGTGCTCGAGATGGCGTTGGGACGGCGACTGCCGTGGCGAGACAGCGTCAGAAGCACTTTCAGCGAACTACACGCGTCGTGTTGAATGAGTGTGCTAGTATGACACATCGTGGCTCACCTATCAGCTCCTGGATGCTGTAGCTCGTGTGTGAGCTCCTTGCTGTGGCCATGGCTCTTCTCGTGGTCGTGTGCTTGCGCGTGGTGCTTCTTTTCTGCGCCATGGCCATGGTGCTTGTTGTGCTTCTTCGACAAATTGACGGCTCCTTCTGACATGTTGAGTTTGGTGGCGCTGCGCAAACAAGGAAATGACTGACATGTGGATCGTCGTTGTGTGGATTTTTTCGAACCTCAAGATCGCCCAAATTTCGGTGAAAAATAGCACAATTTTCAGTATTTTTTCATAGTCTTGAATATCCATATTCAACTTGAAGGACCAGGTCAACACACCCCATGAGCGAGCGACAGCAAACCCAGCTCAGTCTAAGCAGCGAGCCCCGCCACGGCGTTGAGCTCGGTACGCGAGATGAGGTTTCCTTCGATCCACAACTACTGATTTCCTTCTCGCTTCGAAACGGAGGCATTGAATAGACGGATAGATCATGTTGCACAGACACGAAGGTGCTCAATGCCCAGACCAACAATTTTCGAGCTCAAAGAGACCCGTTGTCATTGATGCCGATGCGAGTCCAGTAGTTTACAGCAGCGCCTCGTGAGACACATCTCCATTTCCCCTTTACCCACGCGATTGCATCAACCTGATATTCCTCATACAATCTCTCGAAACGTCCACACTTGACCATATCAATTGGATCCAGTGCGTATTGTAGGTGCTTACCTTGTGTAGTCAGCGTTAGGAGTATTTTCTTTCGTTTTGGTCGACAGGATGTGGAGCCTAGTGCAGGACAAGGCAGCTTGTTGTCAAATAATCTCCCCCGTTATTCAATTACTGATCCGTCGCAGAGGTGACTTGATCACCAGGAGCGTCACTTGGCGGGCAGTGGATCACTCGTTCCTATTGGCGCGGTTTGGCATGCTCGTGTAGAGTTTGAGGGTGTTTCCAATCGTTGCGAATGTTGGAGCCTCCTAGGTACATACGACTCGCCTGCCCAAGCTGATGCATCGACTATGACCCAGAAAGACGTAAAGCATGTTCGACAAATAATCCAACAACGCCAATGGTTGGAGGATCCTTAGTTCCCTGTCGCTGTTGAGTCGGGAATGCACTCGTAATCACCGTTTGTTTGAGCGCCACGTAAAACTCGCCACATCCCAACACCAACAACTGCAGCCACCGCCGTGAGCCCTAGCGTTGTTGCATTCTGGAGCACTTGGTTCACAAAAACAGCAACTGCCATCACCACCGGCACCACCATCACGGCGGTGAGTGCACCGTTCGACAGGTTCACTGCACCGAAAACCAGTTAGAACATACGATTGCACGAACTAGTTTCAATATGGGCCACGGACCTCGATATGGACGAGCTAAGTCAGCGTGCGTGTACCGCAAAGTTAATGCGCCAGCACATTGCACGAGCTGGGCCATGATGGATAACGCATTTGTGACGCCCAAGATCGTGGTGAAGTCCACGCAGCACATACCCACGCTGACGCTGTAGATGAATAGAAGCGCGCGGCGCGGCGATCCCGTCTTCTTGTCGCGGCTATGCGAGAATTAGTCGCCATTCGTCGTCAACATGCACGGTCGTACTGGGAGAAAAATTGCGGCGCTAAACCGACGTCAGCCATGCCTGCGAGGCGGAAGCCATTCGCCGACGACTCTGCAAAGTACAGGCCAAAGCTACTGAATGCGTTTGCAGCGGCGACCCACTGGGCTAGCCACGAGCCCCCTGCAACCGCTCCGGCAATTGCAGGAAACGACCCGTCCACCCACGTCCAGTACACGGGCTTGTTCACGCCGACGGCGGCCACGAGCGGCAGCATGTATGTAGCTGTGATCATGAGCAGACTCGCCACCATGGCTCGGTTCAAGTTGATTTGCGGCGCTTGGATCTCCCCGGCATACGCTCCCATCGCGTCGAACCCACGGAAGTTCCAAAATAAGACACTCACGAGTCGGCTCCATTGCATCTACAGCGACGTAGTTGCTGTTCAGATCGACAGGTGACGGAGCAACGTACCGTGGGACTGATAGCGATGACGTTCGACCACCGCATTTGCGGCAAGGCCACGAGAACGAGCACCCCGAATGGCAATAGCACGATTCCCGTCAGCCACTTGGACGCTTTGCCGATAAAGTCCAGACTGAACAGTGTTGGCACCATGAAGACCGTGAGAAAGAGTACACGAAGACCGGTCTTGGTTACCCACACCGTGCTGTCACCAACCGTGGCGTCCACGAACAGAGCGTCAACCACCAAGCACGGATACACGGCTGCGTCAAATGTACTCGCCATCCACGACCAATAGCCGACGAAAAAACCCCACGACGAGCCAAATGCCAATTCCACCCATGCGCAAAAGCTGCTGTCGACTGGAAATGCACTGCACAACTCGGCCAAGAGCAAATTCATCGGCAACGAATACACTATGGGAAACACGGCCAGCGCAGACAATCCAATCAATGGACCACACGCTGACACAATCTCCTCACTGCCGAAAGGGCCACCGCAGACACTCAAAAACGTTAGTACAACCACGGGCACAAGGCCGAGTTGCCGCCGTGTCGCCGCCGAGTCCGTTGCCACCGCCAACACCTCCATCCGCACGCACCTCGTGCAACTGGACGCATTGTCCGTGGGATCTTGGCTATAAAAATATTTATTCAATCACACTCGTTTTTTTTAATTTGGAGCCTTCACATAGTTCTACTAATAGAAGAATGACATCGACAAACCAAAATATTAATACAGTCGTGTACGAACTCTGGTAAAATGTCACAATTCAACTAAAGTTGGAAAAATTTACCCCCCAAGCATGTAGTCGCTTTGTCATTCATTATCGTCATCGAGAGAGCCATCCAGCTTGGGGTTGTACGACTCGACCATGTCCCAGTACTGCTCGACGTGCTTTGTTTCGAGGACTTTGCGTGCCGTGATTGCATTCCGGCACTCCTGGAATCGAAAGTTGGAAAACGCGCGTTTGGCGACGACCCCCTGCCAAACCAAGTAGCACTTGGCCTTCTTCTTGCCGGCCTCATCTGCTTCGCCGTCGTTGTCCACATCTTTTTCGTTGTTCCCTCCGTCTTCGCCATCTTCATCCTCAGCATTCTCTTCTTTGGCTGGCTTGAGAGACCAATCGATCCGACGGCACATGAGCTTCACGTATGCCTTGATGCCCTTCGGACCTCCCTCAACCACAACCAGATTTAGCGCCGCATTGTCGGTCACCGTGAGTACGGCGCCGGTTAACTGCAGCTGCTGGGCATTCACATCGACTTTAAACTTGTGCTGGGGATGCTCGAGCGTCGGCACTTTGAAAACGGCAACGCAAATGTCCCCAGCTGCATCCTTCTTGAGTTTGGCCAGGGTTTTTTCTCGTCGTTCCTCTGGTGTCAGCTTCCGTGCCAAGTTACGCATCTCGTGGTTGAGTTCTCGCTGCGCCACCTGCGCCCGGACTTTGCGTTCCACGGCGGACGGGTCGGCCACGGCCTGGTCTTGCAGTACGCGCATCATGTTGGCCAGCTTTACCTTGGGCTCTGGCGGGGGTAACAACCCGAGCGCAATCTTGTCTTGGGTCTCCTTGAGCCGCTCAGCACGCGTCGTGCGGCGGATACGCTTTCGTTCGGCCTTGGTGAGCATGATCGGCAGAGTCACGATCTGTTCTTTGCGTGTTGTTTTAATGCGAGCCGGGTGTTCGATCAAGTGTGACGTGCCCGCGTGCTTCAGCCGCAAATCGACGAGGTAATCGAGGACGCTCGTGCGGCCGATGGCTTTGGTAAACCCGTGCTTGTCGACCAAGTCTTGCTTGTCCTTGGGGAGAAAGATAATGTCCCACCACTCGATTTCCGGCACGGGTGCATCGGGTTTCATCGGGACGTCTACAATCGCTGGCGTGGTAGCGTCGCCATCACCCGTCGGCCCGGCGGCATCCGGAATGTCGGCCACAGTCTCCTTGACGTACGCGTTCGGATTCCGCCCGGACGAGAACCCCGCGAGCATTTTCTTGGCTTCCTTTGCGCGCATTTGTTCGCCTTGTTTAACGAACGTACCTTGTTTAACGAAATTGAAGTTCTTGGCACCTCGTCTACGATGATGGCATCCATGAGCCACCTGGTGGACCTGGGGGAGGATCGCTAACGATGCCATACGTTTCTCGCTTTTTCGTCTTAAGACGGGGATCCACTGAGTCCACGCGGTCGTCCTTGTCAATGGACCGGAAAGATAAGTACGGGTTCACCGCCTGCGGGGCTTCTTTCTGAGCATCGGCCACTGCGACACAAGCAGGGATGAGTCACCAAACATCAACCCAGCAGACATTGACTCACCACTAATGTTGGCTTTTATCGTGGCGTGTGTAGCGACAGTAGACTCGATAACGTTGCCGTCCGCGTCGATATGGCGGCCTTGTTCATCCAACAGCAACGGTGCCGGCATGAAGGACTTCTTCTCATACCCTGTCCACAAATTCTGCACCTGGCTGATTTGTTCTCGTGTGGACTTTAATATTTGTTGTATGCGAGCCTCCTTTTCAGCCGCTTCACGCGCTTTTTCTTTGTCGTGGGCGGTGAGCGGTGCGCCAATGTGTTTCGGCAACTGCTTCGAGATGGCGGCTGCTGCCGCTTTCGCGAGCGCTGCCGGGTCGATCCTGGGCTTCTTGGGCACCTCTCCAGCATTCAAGGTAGATAGTGCCGCAGGAATTTCACCTTCTGCTGGTTCGGCCTCACTGAACCGACTCCGCTTCTTGCGAGGTTTGTCCTCCATCATGCGGTGGTCCTGTCGGTCGGTGTGGAAAGATCGCACTTTCCTGAGTCGCACTTCAGACAACGATTTACCGGATAATTGCACACATCATCCGGATATTGTTGGCCACGCTGATTGGTGTGTTTGGATATGAATAGGTCAAGTTCAACATGGCAGGGTGGCATGCCACGAACGAGTGGACCCAGTCTGGATTGAGCTGGGAATGTCGCAAGGAGGCGGGCTTCCGCAAGGCGTGCGCACGGCCAACGTGTGCGTTGTCGACTACGCCACTTTGGCTGAAGGCGCAGACTGTGGCGCGGTCATTGAAGCCGCCTTTGGACCTGACGGCCTCGGTATTCTCGCGGTGTCCAACGTCCCTGACGTCGAGAACCGGCGGTCTCGATGTTTGCCGTTGGCGTACAAGGTAGCCAACCTTCCGAACGACGTCAAGCAAAAGTACGAGCTCCCCGATGCGTACTATAGCTTTGGATGGAGCCACGGCAAGGAGAGTTTGCAAGGTAAACCCGACTTTTCCAAAGGGTCGTTCTACAACAACCCTCGCACGAACCGGCCCACAGATGACGAGAACTTGATGGCAACGTTCCCCACCATGTACCACCTCAACATTTGGCCCTCTGGTGTGCAGCGTGTTACTAGTACGTCGTTCCTCATCCATGGAGTAGATGAAATCCCGGACCTCGAACCTTCGTTCATGTCGCTCGGTCAATTGATAATCGATACCGGTCTCTTGGTTGCCAAGCAATGCGACGTTTACGTTCAAGTACTTCCTATCGCTGTGCTCGGTGGCGTTCGACTGACTTGTGCTCTAGTCCAAGTGCCCCACGTATGAAGTGGGCAAACTCCACCGTCGCATGGCTTCCAGCCGAGTTCCATGCGGTCGGCTCCTGCACTACTTTGCGTTAGACGAAAAGGTACGATATCGCTCGACGTTGGTCGCGCAGGACGATAATTTGAATGCTTTGGTGGCTGCATAGGTCACCGCTCCGTTGACTTCAGGCGAGATCACGGAGGGCGACTTCTCCAACTGGTGTGGATGGCACAACGACCACAGCGCTCTGACAGGGCTCGTGCAGGCCCTCTACACAGACGTGAATGGCAACGCCATCGACAACCCTGATCCTGCCGTACGTCCAAGCCTTGACTCGAACTTCGGAATGACTTAGGGTGTATGTATCAGGCTGGATTGTACATCAAGACTCGCCGTGGAGATATCGTCAAAGCTGTCATTCCCGCCGGTCATTTGGTGTTTCAGATCGGGGAATCGTCGCAAATTTTGACGGGTGGCATCTTGAAAGCGACGCCACATGCTGTCCGGGGACCTCAAGTCCCCGGCGTGAATCGGGAGACTCTCGCCGTGTTTATGAGCGTCGAGCACGACGAACCCATGTGTGTGCCGGCCACAATGAACCCGCAAGAAGCTGGCCAAACAACGCACTTGCCAGAGGGCGTGCCGTCATTGCATTCTCGATGGAACAATTCGATGCTGTTTCACGAGTTTACTGCCCACACGCACAAAGCGTACTACGACATGCAGCACACTCGGAAACCTTAGCGGGTCACAAATTTGCGCAGCTTAAGATGTTTAGAGAAGCTCATACCTCGTACACCTCCACAATGCATTTGACAGCACTTTGCCACGTGGGGGAGTTGCTCCAATTGAACTGGAACCAACCTCATTTCCGCAACGCTCATGTAGGTGTAACTAGCGCAATTTTCATAGTGCATCGTCACACGAACACGAGTCGATACAGCACAAGGTCCTGCGGCAGCGCGGGCTCTGAACTTTACCCGACCTTCGATTCAATCGTCTCTCGCGGTGGTGCTGCGTTTTGGTGTTGATCACCTTTGCCTTGCTTGCGTCCGACATGGTACGGGCGGGGGCATCGACTCCCTCGACGATTTGCAATCGTACGAGCCAAAGGGGACCTTTCCTAACGTGCAAAAGCGCTGCCACCAACCGTGCCGTCGAAAGTGTGCTCCTACGAGCTACGTACAAGTCGACGTCGCCAGCGATTTCGATGCGAGCAGCAACGTTTCGCCGATATCTTTGGCCATCATGTGTCGAGAGCGCTGACGCCTGCCCCATATCGGCATGGACCAGCTCCAACGTTAGTGGTCCCCTTTGTCGCGCGAGGATCCTAATGACACTCATATCCGCCATCTGACGACTTGGCGGCGTAATGAAAGTGCATACGTCATGCATGCTACGCCAGTCATGCACAGAACGTCCATGCCTCCGATGCAACAACTCCTGCAAGGACTCGATCACGTATTTCACGGCAGTGAGCTCAGCATGGACATCCAAATTCATCTTGATGAATTAATAGGTTACTCGTATTTTAGGTCCAATAACTTCTGAATTGAGCCTTGCCAACATGACCAGCCCATTAACAATTCTCTACCTGCGTCTCGCGAACGTCGAAATCTTTGAGAGAACTTGGTCGGCCATCCCAACGGCACCATAAATTACATCTTGCACCCGCTCGACATGGAGGATTTGCTACAGCACTACGTCGACATTGCGCCCAAACACACCCACGTTGAAGGATGCTGACGAGGAGTGTGTCGTGGATGAGTCTGGTGCGGTGCTCCAAGCTCGAGCATGCAGGTTGGCCATGCCCTGTTGCCTGGCACAGCTGCAGTTGCCAACAAGTGACAAAAATACATGAAAATTTTTGACAGAATATGTGATTTACTTCGAAGTATTGTCATAAATACCTCACGACATCGTCAAAATACATCAAATGTGCTGAAAATGCGATCAAAATTGACCGTACTGTGACCATACCGGTACTGTGAACCAAGCGCCTTCAACACATTAGGCCGATCGCGACCAAGAGAGAGCATGGCGGCACTGCGAGACTACCAGGAGGAGGTAGTGAAGACGGCGCGTGTGCAGAACGTCATCATGGTCGGAAACACTGGGATCGGGAAGACGTTTGTATCGATCATGTTGCTTCGCGAGCAAGACTACTCGATGAAGCGAGCGTTCGTGTTGGCGCCGACACGGCAGCTCGTGTACCAGATCCACTCCAAGATTGTCAAGCTCACGTCGCTCAAAGTTGATGCGTATTGCGGGCGAGAACTCGACGTGTGGGACCAAATGAAGTGGGAGCACGAAATTCTGCTCAACAGCGTGTTCGTGTGCACCCCCGAGATCCTACGCAACCTCATCACGAAGGGATACATCACCATGGATCGGATCAACCTCCTTATTTTCGACGAGTGCCATCACGTGGGGAAGCGACACCCGTACAACCAAATCATGAAGCTGTATAACCCCGCCGACCCGCGCATGCCTCGGATCTTTGGCACGACTGCGTGCCCGACAAAGAACTGCAGTGTGAACATGCACGCTACCGTCAAGAAAGTCACCTTACATATCGACGAGCTGGCAAAGTACGCGGCTTGCGCCCCAGTGATCCACGAAACGTACGACCCCAACGTGGATTGCCATCCGTCGACTGTCGTCGACATCGTGACGCGGCTGCTCTCTCAACTGGGGGTGATCGAAGTCTTCTCGGCACTGCTGTCGCAGGGAAAGTACCGCCACACAAGTACAGCCGAGAAACGCGGGAAGCGGCTGACCAAGCTCCTGGACGACTGCAAAACGATATACCAAAACCTCGGGCCGTGGTGCATGTATCGATTCATCGAACTCGAAATCGACAAGCAGGCTCGGTCGTCGTCAGTGCGGTACACGTCCGTAGATAGCGTCGTGGGGCTCGACCCGCGAGCCGTGGACGTTCTCTTGCGTTGCGCGGACTTGCGCCTCCAGACCCAGATGGCGTGTACGCCCAAGGTCGACAAGATTGTGTCGATATTACACGACAAATTGTTTGGCGGCCGCATCCCGATGGTCACACCCGACACGTCCGCCGCACTGTCCATCGGACTCGTCGAAGGCGTGGTGAACAAGCCAAGCGACGACGCAGCTGTGTTGGAAGACGTCGTGTACGTGGATGCTGCCGACGGAAGCGACGACGACCTGAACAGCGACGACGATGTGAACAGCGAAGCAGTTGACGTCAATGACATGCAATTTGAGCCACTCGCGCCTCTAGACTGTTTGCAGCAGTCGGATGCGAGTGCCAAATTGGAGAAGCAACTCAAGTGCGTCATTTTCGTCAATCGGCGGTCCGAGTGCCGGGCGTTAACGGACTTTCTAAATGCCAAGTTCGTCGCGCCCAAGAGAGCGACTCGTTATCGAGATATTGAGGAGGAGAACGACGACATGGGCGATGGTGCCGATGATGAGTCGGCGCTGTTTGGGTGTATGCTTGGCCAAGCTAGCGCGAGTGACGCAGCGTCCTTTGACATCCCGGACATGCATGCCACGCTGAGAGCTTTCGAGTCAGGCATGGTCCGCGTCCTCGTGTCGACGTCCGTGTCGTGCGAAGGCGTTGACTTTCCTCTTTGTTCCATGGTCATTTGCGGCGACCCCCTCACATGTCCACGCAAGTTTATCCAGGTACAATTTTCTTTCTGTTGCAGGCATCGTCTTGGCGGCGGGTGGGAGAGGAAACGCCGCTCGTTCAAAGCATTGGGTGACTCCCGGCTGCAATCCAACTCATCCCGATTGCTCTCAAAAATAGGTTCGCGGCCGGGCGCGCCACACCGACGGCGTGTGCTTTTACCTGACGGACGTGTCGAGCGTGGAAGACGGCAAAATGTTTGGTGTCCTCAGTCGGCAAGCCGAAGAAATCAGTTCGTTAAAGTTTCAATGCGACAAGGCCGTGACCCTCTCGATGGAGCCTCGATCTGTGGTGGCATCCACGTCCAGAAGCGACTACACAATTGTGGGGTTGGATGATGGCCAACTTGTGGCTGCCACTTGTTCGCTGCGGGTACGTCCGTCTGGACATTTTGCGGTGACAGAGTAATTCGTACACGCAGGTGAACAAAACGGGGGCCGTTCTCGACTTGGACTCGAGCATCCCAGTCCTCAACATGTTTTGCCAATCCTTGCCGCAGTACGAAGCATTGAACCTCAAACCCGAGTTCGAGTTCACTGAAGCCCGCATGAACAATGCACCCATGTTCAAGGTGAAGCTAACACTGCCAGATTCAGTGGGCATTGCCCCGATTGAGACGGGGTATTTGCGGTCCAAGGCTGCGAGCAAGGCGCTGGCAGCATTCAGGGCATGCGAGGTTCTATATCAGCAAGGCCGGCTCGACGAAAACCTCAACTCGGTCTACCGGCGGAAAAAGCTGCGCGACGTCGTTCTTGCAAATGAAATTCAATCCTTGCACGACCGCCAAGTGGCCAAAGCGCTGCGTGCCACGATTCGAAACATGTAGACGAGATGAATGCAAGCGCGTTTGTGGTAGCCATCAAGTGGATTTTGAAACAACGTGAATGAGAAGTAGTGCGGTTCATTAATGGAGATACATGCCGACGGTATGGACTTTCCATCCGTGGAGCGAGGTGGCGACGCTATCACAACATAAAGGCCAGGTCAGGGTTGCGTAGGCCATCCCCAAAGTAGGCCGATCCGTACTGCCCCGTGCGCGGCTTGTGAAAAAACACAAAGCCAGGAAAGACCAAGTTGCGCAAAACAACGACACTGCCCGTGCCGTCCTTGCGGAGCGTCCACGTGCCTTCCAGGTCGACGGTCAACGGGTCCAGAAAGTCCGATGGACGAACTAATCCTGGTGTAGCGAGGGCGCTCTTGCGCTCGGCGGTTGTGGCGTCGCGAAAGTGGTGGTAGCTGCCCAGCTGCAACGCCTTTTCCCACGACAGCCCTGCCGAAACCACCATAATATCACGTCTCGATGGATTCGCTCGACTACCTTGGAACAATCGATTCGGGACAATGTAGTGCGTAGCTGATACGACGTACGCCCCACATGGAATGAGAGACGTCTGGTTGTCGATGGCCTGCATGCGCAAAAGTAAGTTGGGCCCATTGTCGTGATCACCTACCTCGACGAGAAGTACCAACCGATCCACTTCACGAAACACGTTTTTGTTTTCGCCTTCTTGAGGCTCCGTTTCCGACTCGTCGAGAAGGCGTGATGGGTCGCCTTTCAACCGACCAGTGTACCGACTGGCCTTGTCACGCTTGTCCTTGCCCACCTCGGGAAATTGCTGGAGCTCAGGCGACGTGTTCGTGCTGCACGGAAGTAAGAAGCCACGTGACGAAACGAGTGGACATGTACCAAAAGAAAAACTTTTTCTTGGGGGCGTCGACACTCTCGATGAATGCGACGCTGATCAGGTAGTCTTGCGCGTCGCCAGAGATGCGTCCCCAAAACCGCATCGACTCGATGTTCTCGGTCGCATTGCGTTTGATAAAACCAATTTCGAGGTTTGACCGCTCCTGCGACGTCAACGCACTGCCGATACTGCGACTCACTGTGTCCAAGTGCTCCAGTTCCATCGCTCCAACACGCGGTCTTCCAGACAGCCTGGACAGTTGCGCCTCTTGGGATATGCCTGGACGACCCTTCGCAGGAACGCTCGGGATTGGTCGAATTTTGAAACCATCGCGATCATTGAAGTGCGATGCTTATTTAAGTACGAATCTGGAACGCGGTGTGCCCTTCAGGGTGCGCCCTACCCCCCGAAATCCGCGCAGCCTTCAATCTCTGCAGTGTGCAGCCCACAGGTGATGTGAAGCTTGTGACGCGTTGATGCAGCCCGGAACACGTGTTGTTTGCAAAGGGTATCCGACCGCCCACTGCAAGCGAGTTCAGTCTGCTTTTTGTGTCAAAACAAGCAGAGTACTTGTACATTGATTTACGATTGAGTTTGGCTTGGGGTCAAGAGAGATTTCTTCATGTTCCCCGAGTGCACCATCGAGTTAATGGACGGGCGAACTTCGTTCAACCCCAGCACGGAGTGGTTGAGCATCTTGGTCCATCCTGATCGGCCCTGGCTGTGGCTGAATCCGTACAAGAAGTACGTGACGATTGCACACCCGATCCAGATGAACCCACGGGCAATATCCTTCTCCGCCAGCTGCGCGACCAAGTACCAGTTAACAAGGATGGCCAGCATTGGGACGAACGGAACGAGCGGTGCGCGAAACATGTCAGCGCCCCCGACATTTTGCGGACACTTGGCATACAACACGATGCCACAGGCAAACGTCACAGCAAGCAGACCCATAGAGATCCCGAGGGCAACGTGGCTGTCGCCATCGACAAACCCCTTCTGGAATGTCATCATGGCCGCGCACGAAATCACCACGATCGCCATCGTGAGCTTGTGGGACAGGCCTGGAGATAACTCGCGCGTGCGGACGATGATAAGCGCCGAGTTGGTCATGATGAAAGATACCAAGATACCAAACGACACAATGTTCCAAATGTCTCCGAACGGAATCAAGAGCGCGACGATGCAGAAGAATGCGCCAGTGATCACGGTGCACCAAAACAAGTTACCCTTGCCGTCGACGCGGCCAAAAATCTCGGGCAGGAGCCCGTCCACTGACACAGCATACATCAGGCGGGGCTGGGCCAAAAACGCGATCAACACGACAATCGGCATCGTCCCGACTTCCCCAATGCGGACAATCAACTCGGCCGCGGTGTAGCCGACGTAGCCGAACGCGCCAGGGAATGAAAAGTACGTGAGGTTCCCGCGAGGATTCCCAGCCGAATCGTTGCCCAAGTCATACGGCAGCTTGGAGTACACATCGGCAGGCACCATGCCGGAGAGGGCGAGCGACGCAAAGGACGACAGAAACATCGTACCAAGGATAGTCCCGATGACTGCGCGGGGCATGATCTTGCGGGGATTCTTGGCCTCCGCGGCGAGACAGCACACTTCGTCAAATCCGACAAAGCCAAAGAACGCTTGCGACGCTCCAAACATAACGCCTTGGACGCCAAACAAGCCCGTGTCACCGTCGTGGGGAGGGATAAACGGCGTCAAATTCTCCGACTCGGTGGCCGCGAAGCCCGCGGCAATGATGAAAAGGACGACTGCAACCTTGATCGTCGCCACGACGTTGATAAAGACTTTGCCAAATCGAATACCGGCCAGCAAAATCACCACGGCCAGAAACATGATCCCGCACGCGAGCATGTTGTAGTGGTCTTCGTTTAGAAACTTGTGGTTCCCGCCGTTTTCGTCAGCCCATTCTTGGACTTTGCCGGCCCACGACCGCGCGACACCTGCTCCCGACATGCCGTACTCGAGCGTCAAAAGCCACGCGGCGATATACGCGGGGAGCTCGCCGAGGATGTGGTACGCATATGCGTACGTGGACCCAGACGATGGAACTAACGAACTCATTTCCATGTACGCGAAGCCGCTCAGAATACACGCAATGCCGGCGATGGTCCACGAGAGAAACGCGGCGGGCCCAGCGCCACCGCCCACTGCGCCGCTGATGATGTCCCCTGTCGTGGCAAACACACCCGAGCCAACCGTTCCGCCGATCCCGATTGCGATCAAATCCCACAGCCCAAGTTCACGGGGGAGCTCTTCCTTGAGCTCCTCGGCATGGATGACTTCGATCGGCTTCGTACGAAAGAGATGCTTGAGCATCGTCGTGGGAAAGCCAACGAAAGTTCCAAACTGATCGGCGGCTTGTCCTCGCCATAACCTTCCATTAAGAACTCTGTGCGATACGCGCGACTGTTGCGATATGTCATGTCGAGTTCAATGAATTTTCGGATGATTTTCACCAAAATTTCTCCATTCGCGTGTTTACAATCACCACGAACACATGGAATCATCCAATCAACGCGTTGCGTTTCGAGAAATACAACATAATCAATCCAAGTGTAACGTCGTGCGCGCGGACACCCAGGTCAGCGCTCCAGACTGTGTGTGCAATGCGATGTAGGCCAACGAGGGGAGCCATGGCGAAATGTGCGCCCGCATCTGCTGAGGCCTCTTCAACCTGGTCCGTTCTGGACAAGGCAGCAGCGCTTGCCAGGCGGAAGACAGCGACCAGGGCATTGGATTCGCATGTGCGGTGGACGACGCGTGGTTGTGGTCGTTGAGGTCTATCTCAGCGAATGTAGTTTGGCACATGAAGATGAGCCGGCTGGGAAGTCAGCTTGCGCGCTTTCGTGGACGGAGGGAGGTGTTTTTTATGCAATGCGTCTTTACATGCAAACTCCCCATACTGGGTGCCACCGTTGCACGCTCCGCAACGGCACCACCGCGATCGAACATCCCTTCCTTGCGAGTTTGTTCCTGTTGGCTTGACCATGGTATCGATGTAGTTACAGGAGAAGGCGAAAAACAGTACTCGTGCAGTCGAGTCGACTCAGCGTCCCACCTTTGGTGGCTACAAACTCTCGAGTGGGTCGCGGGCCAATGTCGTCATGTACTCGGCTGGCCCTGCCCCAGCGCAACAGGTCGCAAGGATAGCGATCTGTTATTTCATTTGCTTCCACATGGAGCAAGGACTCTTGACGAAGGTCAGCAAGACAATGGCGTTCTTTCCGCCCCACACGATCTCAAGGTGTCCCCAACCTTGGGAATTCGAGCCACCCAAAACTGTGGCTGAACTGTGCTGGTTCACGTCAAGCAAGCCAGCGATCCTGACGTGTTCCGGCTCGCACAGCTACCTACTGCTGAAGTCAGCGTCGTGCAAGGGAACGTCTTGCTTGTGTGCGCGACTCTCAAATGACACATCGATGTAGCATTTGTGACAACAGAGCGGTCTCTCCGAAGGGGCGGCGACAGAAAGACGTGTAATATTACAACAACGTGAGAGGTGGTTCCAATCCTGTACGAGCCGAAGGGTTCGAAGGCACTCCTGGAAGGCTAGCTTGGCGGGAGGGGACATCCCCGACCCAAAGACTTGACGTTTCAAGTGCCATGAAAGGACAACACGCAGCACATGGAGACACATAACATCAAGCCCGACGGCAATTGCAGCCTGTCAGCCCAATAGCGGGCATTTCAGGGGGCGGCGCCGAAAGGAGTCGGCACTCGTGCGCATGTACACCCAAACAGTCATTACGTACAAGTTACTGCTGGCAACCTACGCCTTGGCAGTAGGTTCCGGGCTCAGCAAGGACTTCTTGACATCGCCAGACATCATGGAACTCATGGACGGACGCACTTCGTTCAAACCAAGCACACCGTGGTGGAGCACCGTGCTCCAGCCCTTGCGGCCTTCGCTGTGTCGGAATCCGTAGAGAAAATACGTGATGATGGCGGCACCGATCCAGATGAAGGCGCGGAGAATGTCCTTCTCCGCCATCTGCGCGACCAAGAGCCAGTTGACCAAGATAGAGAAGAGCGGGACGAACGGCACCAAGGGAGCGCGGAAGAGGTCCCCGTCGCTCACGTTTTGGGGGCACTTGGCAAAGATGACACCTCCAATGGCAAACGTCAATACAAACAGAACGATCGAGATCACTAGGGCGGCAGTACTGCTGCCGTCTACGTAGCCCTTTTGGAAGGTGAACATGGCGGCCAGTGCGACAAGGACTGCGGCACCCGTGAGCTTTTGGGATGTTCCAGGCGCCGCGTCACGCGTGCGCACGATAATCAACGACGCGTTGGTCATGATGAACGAGATCAAGATCCCAATTGACACCATGTTCCAAATGTCCCCGAACGGGATGACGAACGCCACAACAGTAAAGAACGCGCCAGAGATCACAGTGCACCAAAACAAGTTGCCCTTGCCGTCGACGCGGCCAAAAATCTCGGGCAACAGCCCGTCCACAGACATGGCGTACATGAGGCGAGGCTGGGCCAAGAACGAGATCAACACGACAACCGGCATCGTCCCGACTTCTCCGATGTGTACAATGACTTGAGCTGCAGAATAGCCGACGTAGCCGAACGCGCCAGGGAATGAAAAGTACGTGAGGTTCCCGCGGGGGTTCCCACCCGAGTCGTTGCCCATGTTGTACGGCAGGTTGGAGTACACATCGGCAGGCACCATGCCGGAGAGGGCGAGCGACGCAAAGCACGACAAAAACATCGTTCCGAGAATGACACCGATGACCGCGCGGGGCATGATCTTGCGGGGATTCTTGGCCTCGGCAGCGAGACAACACACTTCGTCAAACCCGACAAAGCCAAAGAATGCTTGCGACGCACCAAGCATGACGCCTTGGAACCCAAACAAGCCTGTTTCTTCGTTGCGTGGGGGGATAAAGGGCGACAGGTTGTCCGATTTGGTTGCGGCGAGCCCAGCCACGATGATGAAGATGACGACGCCGACCTTGGTCGTGGTCACGATGTTGATGAACAACTTACCGAATCGGATGCCAGCCAAGAGGATAATCACCGACAACAGCATGATGGCAAGTGCCAACACGTTCGTGTTCTGCAGGTTCAGGAACGCATAGTCGCCGCCGCCTTCTTCCGCCCATTCTTGGACCTTGGTGGCCCACGACCGAGCGACACCCGCGCCGGACATGCCGTACTCCAACGTTAACAGCCACGCGGCGATGAAGGCCGGGAGTTCGCCTAAAGCATGGTACGAGTACGCGTACGTGGATCCGGACGACGGGATGAGCGAACTCATTTCCATGTAGGCAAAACCGCTCAAGATGCAGGACAAACCAGCCAACGTCCACGAGATGAACGCAGCAGGACCGGCGCCACCACCGGCAGCGCCACTGATGATGTCACCGGTGGTGGCGAACACACCGGACCCGACAGTCCCGCCGATCCCGATCGCGATCAAGTCCCACAGGCCAAGCTCGCGGGGCAGTTCTTCCTTCTTTTCTTCGGCATGGATGACCGCAAGCGGCTTGGTACGGAACATATTGTCCAGCGCTCCCATTCGTCGATGGAAGGCACCGGAATATTGGCAACTGGGACGTCGACGTGCCTGTTCAACTTTCGAGGACGGCGCGGCCATCTGGTGACCAGATGGTGTCGCAAACTTCGATGGGACTTCGAAGGATGCCGGTGGTGCAGTGGCCTGGGCTACCGCAACGGACCTCCCCTCGACGCAAAGCGGCCTTGGTCGTTGTCGTCTCTGCCATAACACAAACGCTATCTACACAGCATTGCAGTCCCTATTTCGAAGACGACTCCACTTACACCATTATCGTGAGGATTATCTCACATTGACGAGCGCGTCGCTGTGAAAAAACACGCGGGACGGTGCCTCTGACCTTGCGCGAATTGGACAGGGTCTGCAACGGATCATGTCGTTGAATTTGCAAGACGAGAGGAAGCAGCGCCGAGGCAATGCAAAGCGATTCCCCCCGTCGACATGTATGGCGGGAGCCTCTTCCGCTCGCTGCGTTCCCAGCGCCTGCGGACAAAATTCTGGGGATGTCGGGGCTACAGTAGTGGGCCCGCACAACGCTCTCCCTTGCGCGACGCTTGGTCGATGTCATTCAGCCAATCACAGAAACTTCAACGTAAATTCGACGTTTAATTGGCCAAGATTCTTAGCATTCCTTCCAATGAACGAATAAAACCAAATTTCACCAAACGGGGAATCAATACGGTGCTGCAGGATGCATGCTCTGATGGCGGTGACGATGAGCGCATTCTTGAGTGTGATGGCGCAGCGTGTCAGTCGCAACGCGCGATTCTGTCGGGACCTCACAATGGCCTAGTAGCGCCTAATCGGTAGGGTGTTGAAGGGCCCTACCCGACGATTTTCGTCTTGTCGTAGAAGCCCGTTGCGGCATAAAGTCATGTCACATCGTCACGGTGTAGTGACCATAAGAAGAGGGCGGATGGGCTTCTCCCACCGCTTTTAGCCACTTCCGGTTCGTGTCCTGGTACATCCGTGCCCTCTTTGTGAGCCGTGCCCTCTCGAGTACACGCAAACCACATCCTCGATTGTTTCGAGTGCGGCTGAAATTACTACATCGTACTTGTACACCGCCACGCAGAGTGGCCCCAACAACGAAATGATCCTTCGCCTGCCTTGGTCTGGATTGGGAGCGCCGTCGACTGTATTGAACCTCAACGTTTTACCGGAATGGTGGTACAACAGTGGAGAATCCTGGGTTGTGGGTTTCTTCAACCGCGGCGACCTGAATAATGGTGATGGGGGCTGGATTTGCCCAAGAAATGCTGAACACACTTGCCTCGTTCTGCTCCGCTCGCGTGGCTACGGTACGGCAAGGTTGGAGCGCAACGCATGTGCCGTACGTTGGCCCCCTCACCCACACACAACGATGCCATCTGCCAGGTCAGCTGAATTCCTTGTACTACCTACCTGTATCCCAGGACCGAAACACTACTGGGGCTGAACGCAACGACCGACAGCCAAAATGCTTCGACGACTCGTTGCCGACGGC